TAGGCATGCAGTGTGAAACTTGAGGAAATATAATGTACGTCTGTTTGGTAGAAGCTTGTTAGTCCCAGGCTCAGACCAACCGAGGGCCAAATACTCTTAAGTGTTAGGGACTGGACTTTGTCAGGGGTAATATTAACAAAGCTTTAGAAATATCTCCCAGCTCCCAACTTTTCATCTGCTGTTTCTAAAATGTAACCTTGAAAGACGACGGCTTCAAATATCAGCTCCTCAGAATAGTTTTAAACTGCAGTTTGTGGCTTTTTCGTGAGTTGGATTCAATCCCGAGAAACCTTCAGGAAGTAGTAGATCAGGTGTACAGTAGTCGGTGGCGTGAGTCCCTTTCATTAAAAGCCTTTAGAAGTCAGGCCAAGCTTGTGAGGGTCTGAATTTCCTCTCTGTCTTTGCTCAAAGGGGAGGGAAGTGTCAGTTGCTCTGGATGTTTGCTGAGCTGAAACTTTATCTTGAATCTGGTGTATGTGCTAATTCTGAAATAGCTCCATGTTTTCATGCACAGTAAGTGTGCCTCTCTCAACTGCGACGGTTTGCTCACTCAACCAAACGCTTTGCTACTGTATGTGCTCTAATTTGTTGTTTTATTAGAAAGCTATACTTGAAAACTAGAAAGCCTGGCCTGTCTGCGTTTGGGGGTTTGGTTTTAATGGCAGAAGAAAAATCACAAGTTGAAATGTAATTTGGATAACTGGAAGTTGTTCAACAAACACTGGGTTCACTGTCAACAATTTGAAGAAGTCATGAGTTGTGCCTTTCCTAAGAGTATTTACACTGGCTCAGCGGCTTGAAAAACATCACCAGACCATCAATATTTCAAAACCCAAATCAACCAATATAGATGTCTGTTGGCGAGTCACTAAATATGATGTGTGTGAAATGAATCCATCTTAAAAATGCAGCAGCAAAGTGAAAAAACATTGGGAATAGACGAAGAATAATTGTTGAATGATGTTTGTTTTAGACGGTTTTTAACGATACTGTACAGTCCTACAACGAAACGTAGTTTCCGTAAGTCTGACTGATGTACAGTGTGTGCGGTATTGGCGCTGTGTCCGTTAACTCTGGGGAGTCACATTCATTCGTCATTGCCCCTCACTACACTATGAATTAGCTCTGCTCTCAATAGGGGTACTGGAAAAACACAGGAGTGACTAAGGGTTGCCGGTTAGCTATCTCCATCGTGCAGTTTCTGGAGTGTCCTGTCAATAAAGAAGCTGTTGCCAGAAATAACAGGAATAAATTAGTGACATGTAACACTGTGGTTTTGTGAGGGAGCGCTTGGGGAATACATAGACTGAGAATTTGTTGGAGTTAAACTGGAGATACAAGTGAGCGTGCATCCCCAAATATATGTTTAATGCGTCGATAATATCAAAGAGGACTCATTAGAGGGGCTTTCTCCAGGGTCAATGCGTTAACCAGATTTGCACATTTTGGTACTTTTCTCACTGTACTCATGCAAGAGCTCTCATGTCCAACAGATTTGACTTTTCTGCTAACGTCATTACCACTAAAATGAAAAACCTTACACCAAAGTGGAAATTCAGTCCCTTCATTCGTCATTTTAGGCTCAATCAAAGTGTTGCTTTTGTGGCTGGTATTGAATGTGAGTGCAATAACTACGCTTATGAATCGGTCTGGTGCCTTTGGACCTCTGAATTGGTGCCCACATCTTTTTTTTTTTTTTAAACTCCAATAGTTCTGGTGCTGTGCTCATTGACGGTTTTCCCAGGTTTGTAAAAACACAACCGAGCCAGTCAGATCTCTGTTGGGGATTAAGAATGGGGACGTCACCTTTCTGTGCCGAAGCCAGAAAAGCAGTGGCAGAAAACAGAAAAATGTGCCCGAAATCATTTGCTGCCGATGAGCACTCCCTCCCAAACAGAAAACGGCTAATATTAACACAATGTCAGACTGAATAATGAAGTGAAGAGACATGGCATTTCAGGTTGATTGTTAGGCTAATCTGAATCCACCTGTCTTTAAAATGACCACTAACTACAAGCCTGGTGTTTAGACTGAATGGCCAGTGTGTTAGCGTCTATATTACCTTCTTATTAAATTTGTTTTACACCAATCTTCTGTGTCAAGACACCTCCGTTAACAAGATCACTGTAACGATATGGAAATAAAGAAATGAAGGGAATGCTATTAACTCATGACAAATAAGTTTGCCAGTCAAGAATATTGATTGAGCTTGTGTATTATCAATATAGAAGATGGTAACAGGGTGGTTAGGCTGCTTGGATAATGTAGTAATCTATTTAGCTATACAGTCTTTTTTCCTGGTTATTTTCTCATGATTCTCTCTCATGCATTTAATAAATAATTTGTCGTGGTAATGTGATGTTGTACCGTTGATCTCCGATAACTCTCCTGGGTAATATCTCCCCTTGGTATGTATCATTTTAATAGTTAGGTGTTCAAATTGGAAAAATGTCCTCAGTAGGCGTGGTGTGTGGGGCTTGTTTGAGCTTCTCTCTGGATTAAGGTGTGTCTGTAGGTTATATGTAAATAGTTGGAGCTTGTAAATATTTAAATAGCTGGTTTGAGCTTCTTTCTCACTTTTTGTAGAATTTGTTTTTTACTTCAATTATAAAATGTTTGAATAATAATTATGTTCTTACGTACATAAGTGTATGTACATTTTCATTGCCGTATACCAATTAGAAACAGGTCTGCATTTGCACTTAGAAACGAACAAGAAACTCAACCACTGACTAAAAGAATAATAAAAACTGACCTAGGGTGATTTTTATTCAGATAAAAGTGTAGAGAGCAACTAGCAGAACTTCAGAGTGAGTCAAGGAAGTGATGCAAGTTACTGAAACAAAGTTATTCAATATACTTGTTCTGTAAAATACAAATAAAACTTTAATTTAGGACACAGGTTGTTAAGTTAAAGGTAGAATCTGGGACAGTTGCGGGTTGAAAAAGTTAATTTTGTGCTCTGAGTGATTGACCATTTAGGTTTAACTCTTACAAATATACAATCATTCAAACAACAAACCGTGATTTCACACAGCTACATGAACTTGTTGGTTATTCCCTCTCTTTTCTACCTTTCCCCCTCTTGATGTCCTCATTTCTCCTTACTCCCTCAACCTCAGACATTACTCAAGGTTGAGCCATTGCCTTAACCACCATATAATTTCATAACCAACAGTTATTAGACACTAATTTCCACCAAGGTTTTTTTTAATGAGGTTAAGACCAAAATGTGTCAACACAGCCTTCCCCAAGGTTTGGGAAAGAATTAAAGTTTAAGTTAGTTGATACATAAAAGAGAAAGAACATTAACAAATACTTTTTTTTAAAGTTCCCATTAAGAAGTTAGTGACTTGTCTTGTCCTGTAAAGAACACTTGCAATCCAGTGCTACAGTCTAGATGGATAACTTACTTAACCTTTGCTCGCCCTTTAGAGTTGGCACAGTGTTTTTTTTTTTTTTTTGCTGTGGTTATTTGCTGTAAGGGTTTTCTGCATTATTGACAAATCTGTGCAGCTTAATGCGTCTGGCCTTGTGGGAGCCTCGGAGAGATGTGGCCTGCATCGACAATGATAGCTGTAATTAGTCGAAGCCAAACTGCGTCAGCTCCTCTGATCATGGTAGTGCAGTAGTAGAAGCCTGTGATATATAGATTTATGAATATTTTTTTTATTTGTATGTATTCATACTACAATTATTCATTTTGGTTTATTGATATTAGAATTGATTCAGTTGATAAAGAGCACAGACTAGATCAGTAGTCGACATCAATCTGGAGAGTAATGTTAGAAGAAAAAGAAAAGACTGACAGCTTAGTTTGCATCTTTGACATATTTACATTTCTCACCAGGGTTTGTTACTGACGCACAGTATTTTGGGGGGTTTAATGTGAGACTGGAGTTATTTATCTTGAGGAAAACTTTCAGTCAAACATATTAAAAACCTGCTTCAGTTGCACTGGCCGTAAAACTCTTGTTTATCGCATTGTCAGGTCAAAGAACGAAAATATGCAGCAGAAGGTCCACATTGTGGCCAGAAGATTGATTTTTTTTATAATTAAAGTCACATCCAGTTAAGCTACGACGGACAACCTTTAGATATTGTTACATACATGTCACATATTTTTAATAGGCGTTCCCCACTGGTCATCTCATTTATATCAACATTCCCATGGTTTGAAAAGGCCACAGTTGGCATGTTTCTGCTGTATACAGTGTAATTTGAGTGTCAGTGTTAAATATTTGGCAAAATTTCCTGAACTTTGGTTCTCTATTGTCTTCCAATTTTAATGGTACCATATATTACAATTTCCACACAGTTACTGAATCAAATGAAGCTTCCACTCTACTTTTTTCCATGTCAGCGTAAAGACATCATTTCTAAAAATGTTATAAAAAACAACTGTCTTGAGCTTCCCTCTTTTATTTTTCTGTTTGTCAGGGTGTTTTTTTGTTTTATTCAAACTGTTGCTTTTTCTGCAGCAGTAGATAATGGATTAGCATTTTGAAGTATTTTGACTAAGAGACACTCATTTGCTTTGAATACGTCACTGTCTGACAGCTCAGCTCACGCACATTACGAGCTTCTTTGATTTTGTTTGCCAGTGGCGGTTTTTATTCTCCATCGGTCTGTGTACATTTGTCATTTTCTCCAACCATTTGGCTTTCAAACAAACTAGCTGACGAATATTATTCTGAAAGGAATATGTGTGGTGAGTGAGATCATAACTTGTACAGCGTCTTTGGCCAATATCAAAATTAAAATGGATCTCTGTCCAGTTTTAATTGATGTTCCTGAGATTTGTTGCCATTTTTTGTGACTTGTGTAGTTTTCTAATCTTTGCTTCAAAAGTCTTTGAAGATCATTTTTTTATTTTTACCTCAGTTGAAAGTACGATTGCAGTGTCTAAAGGAAATGGTATTATTTTTCATTAAAAGCATATTTTGTCAAAGAGAACTTTATTTGTTTTTAAGTGTCCACCGCATCTTCCTTCTTCACAGGTCCATTCTCAGACGTGGTCACCACAAATCTCAAGCTCTCCAACCCTACAGACAGGAATGTGTGTTTCAAGGTGAAGACGACGGCGCCGCGCCGGTACTGTGTGCGGCCAAACAGTGGAATCATCGATGCAGGCACCTCAATCAACGTCTCAGGTAATGATTGAGGAATTGGCACTGAGTAGAGGCCGTTAAAGCTGCCTGGAAGGTAACTTTATTCACTCACTTATTTACATCCAGGCTACTTTAACATGTAGCTGCTACTGTTGCTGAAACAATTACCAGAAAAAATATGTGATAGTTTGATATGTACTTTGGATACAGCTTCTCAAATATAAGGGGTTGTGCTGTTTATGTATGTGTACCCCTAGGTTGTTTGACTGTTACTCAGACAAAGTAAGCAACTTAAAGGTATCATTTCTGGTCTGGTGTGATCAATTTGGGTTGTTTTTGTTTAGATTTTATAAACTACATGATTGATATTGCAAATTATAATTCTTTGTAGCCCTAATTTCTACAGCGGTGCTTTATAAGACCCATCTTAATATCACTGACTGTTTTATTTTTATTTGTATCTTGATAATCTCTCTGGTATCATCATGGGTTTGCCCTTTTTACCTCCTCCTCTCTCATTACCCCGTATTCCCTCGTCCTCTCTCCCCAGTCCTTCCTAGCAGGCTTCGTTCCCAGTTGTGTACTTTGAGGGAGACAGGTACAGGCTAGTGTTTCCACACTGTGCCACCTCTGCCATTTACAGCCACAGACTCATTTTACAACCTCCCCTATCTGGTGTCAACAACTGCAAACTGTGTCACTGGGGCCGGCAGTCAGCAGTGGGCGACAAATCAACACAGTCCAGGACACTGCCATCATTTGAGCTGGGCTGAGAAAGGTCACAGGTTTGAGTCCCAAAAGGAGATTGCTTTTCTTAGAATGTAGTCGCTATAGGCAAACACATGGCCTGGTCCGTAACCCCTTTCTGTCCGATCTGTCTTCAGGGAGGAGTGTACATAACAGCATGAGACAGAGTTATTGGTTTTTATCTCGCAGCCATTGTATGCTTTTACATTGAACACACATTAAATTACAAATGATAAACTATTATTATTATTATTAAAGACCCTGCACATCCATGTTAATCTCACAAAAGTGATTTCACATATTTTTGGTTGATTACACGTCTTCTCAGGAGTGTGGGTGTCTGTGTGGGTGTGTAGTCCATTTCAATCATGCAGCTTGTGTTATCTAGAATTGAAGGTTCTGTGCAGCGCGTAAACAAAATACCACATGGATTAATGGATTCAGGGGACTTAAAACTCCAGGAGAACAGCGGGCCGCAGAAAAATCAAAAGGGTTGGCCAGCATGGGATACATGTTTCATCATTTATCAGAATCATATCATTTATATAATTCATAATAGATTATCAGCTGCAGAGCAGTGAGCTGCAGTTGTTGGACCTGAAGGATACATACAGTGTGTTTGTGTAATACTGAATGTTAACAGAACTTTTGTATACAAGAATACTTCACAGGTAAACCCTGCTTGGTTGTTCTTGGGTGAAATATTCTAAAAGCACCGATTGTGATTCCCAAAACAACATCACACTGTCCATATTGAAGTATTGTAATATTGAGTTTTGGTCCTCCATCTTAGAAGATTGCACAGGATCTGTAACTCGTTGCAGTCCAGTTTTGTCTCGTATTTCTGGCCTGTAATTTTTAACAAAGCAGCACAAAAAGACAAATAGGCATCCACTTGCATCAGGGTGAAAGGGAGCTGTCTGCCACAGGATACCTACATATTCGAGATGTGTCACTCGCTGGCTTAGCTGAGGATAGACACAGTGCTTTTGAAGCTCAACCCAGCTGTAACTGTATATGTTCAATGTAGCCATGACCACAGGAATGTTGCTGAGGTTGATTGGTGTTATGTAGCAGCATCCAGTGGAAAAATATGTGGCGTGAATGTTTAAAAAAAAAAAAAAAATCCTTCTTGTGTCCACAAATATTGAGCTTCTTCTGGGAATATGTCAGAAGTTTGTCTGACATACTCAGGACATGTTAGCATTCCAAAGGGAAGCAGAAAGCAAAATAACATACCACAATAAAAAAATATCAAATCTTTTGTTGCAGTTGTTTGAATTAGCTTCATTCAATTTCCCTTACGGCAATTTTCTAGTGTGCCTATGTGATGACAGGAGAAGAAAGGGGTTCTCCTGTCTTAACTGTCATCCATATTCTTAAAACATTAATGCTAATATGCTACACACAAGGTCTGTATCAGTATCTAAAAGCCACGTTTGCTGTTCTACCCACCAACTAATAACAGAACTTAACCTCTAAGTGGTAGTGTGGTGGATCGAATGCTTTTGACTCCTGGGTTATTTCCCACCCTGAAATAGGTTTGCTGGTCTGTAGTCAGTATTATTTTATTTATTCCTTTTGAATTATATTGAATTAGATGGACCCAGGAGAGCACAATCAGAAGTGTGAGATCCTGCTACCCTGAGAAGCCTGAATATGAATTTGTTTTATGAGAGTTAGCTCTTACATGCTGGAGAGTTTTCCCTCCAGGCCTGTATCTCGACGACTCTGGTTGACTTCACTCTCTTCCACACTCCCACGCTATATTGTCTCAGTGGGCTTGCTGATCTTTGACCAGGTTTTTGTGTTGAGTAATACTGAACAAAGTGGACAGGGAGCACCCTTTTTACAAGTGAGGCTTGTCTGAATCGGTGTGAAAAGGTTACTGTTAGAGATACGGGTGTAACAACGAGCCGTATGGTATCGTGTTTCATATCGGATCTCGTTCGGTGTCACATCGTGTCGTAATGTTCACCTCATTTGAATTCACCTCATATCTTGTGTTTAGACTTTATCTTTTGTTATGATGGCACAACAGCTGTTTCCTTATTTTTGTTATATTGTCAAACACACGTTTTGTTTTCTGTTCTGCTGCTGAGAATTCACATTAAGTGGGTCAGGGAAATATTGATGTCTCAAGTTTTATACTTTTATTGAAGATGAACATTGAGATGTAACACTGTGAAAATTTTAAATATGTAAGGCACATGGTCAGGTTGTTTTTCCTGTACTGAGGATATATTGCATCATGTTTTTCTTCATGGTTTTGTTTGGAATTGAGCCATGAATCTTCTCAATTATTACACCCAAAGCTATAGAGAAGAGTTTAAACAATTAGTTTATTAATCAAATAAATCAGTTAATCGATTGACAGATAACTAATTTGCATTTAAGTGATTTTTCAAGCAGAAAATGTGATACGATTTGCTGCCTCTCTCCGTTTATCATTACAAATGGATTATATTTGGATTTTTAATGTTCCGTTGCACTGTAATAAAAAGACATTTGTAGAAGCATTTAAACTATTTTCTGACTATAATCCAGAAAACACCTAATTTATTTTTTAATTAATTGATAATGAAATGTGCAGGCCCTGTAATATTTGTAATCTGCATGTATGGTCATTACAAAGGAACAGGAACCATGGGTGGACCTCTGTAAGCACTTCAAGGTAAATAGTTAGTGCGCTTGTGAGCATCTCATCTCACGGGACGCAACTAATTAGTGACAGGAAAGGAAAGTTTTCTTGCCTCCCTCCCTCACCCCTCTAATGGTTCCATTCATCATCAACAAGCAGGCAGGCGATTACCATCCTGCTTGACCGTGTTGACTACAATTACCCTCTGTGAGATTTATAAACGATTGCCCAGTGTGAAGTAAGAATACTAAATCATGCCATTAGCAGAAGTAGCTCTTTGTAAAGGTGTGTTCAAAGACTGGAGATCAAAGATGATTGAAATCACTTTTTCCCCTGCTGTGAGTTTTTCCATCTCAGGCTTTGGCTCAGGACCTTTTTCATGTTATTCACTGTTGCTCAAAGAACTTACATGCTTTCCTGCCTCCATTCTCTCGTATTGTCCCCTTGGACTTAAGGTAGATGGCCGTGCAAATTAGGTCTGACTCAAACAGGACGTTCTCAATCTGTTCATGCCGTCTGTTTCTGGTTTGCGATATTGAACTGCCCTGATTGCTGTAATGGTGCACTACATCTCTGAGGTTTTCCACTCTAGGGAGAATTGGCATGTGCCATATATGAAAACCATCCTGATAGCTACACCGGCTTTGAAATTAGGAGGTCATTCCCTTTTTAGTGAAAAGCCAAAGAATCACGCGAGCATTGCAGACATAGTTGGTACTGATGTCAAAATACGCCTTTCAATTACACCCTTATTTAAAAACCGAAGGCAAAGGAGGAAAAGACCACCAATCAATAGCCACTTTCATCCCCTCTGCACTTGAATACTAACATAAGAAAGTGATCATTGTAAATCATTGTTACAGCTTTAACATACCTTCTCAGTCACTGGAATGACTTCAAATAACACACCACTGACTGAGAGCACTGATGTGGTGATGGGTTAAAGTAGTATTCCATCTCCACACCTGCTTTTTGTTAGAGCGATATGTAATGTTAAGAAAGAAAACGACAGGGTTGGAAGCTGTTAGAAAGATTACCCCCTGGGGTATTTGGAGATACGTCATTGTTTCGCTGTCATGGTAACACAAACTTAGAAATAAATCATCTCCACCACTTTTTCCGAGCAGCAGGGGCAAGCCCAGAGCCTTGAAGACGTGGAGGCCTTAGTTAACCGTTTCACAAATACATGGGTATTTGATACTCACTAATTCCTCTTTATATCCAAGGAATGGACAAAGAGTTGAGAACGGGAGAGGTGGAAAGTTGCAGTAGTATTGGCCTAATTGCTGGTGTACCGTAATTGTTTGTTTTGTGTTTGGGGTGGCAGATTTTACCCACAAATCATGTTTCCTGCTGCAGAGGATTGAAGGACAAGACACTTTTTCTGACACATTTTCCTGAGCTGGGGTCTAAAAAAAAGGGAAATAAATGCTATAAAGTTAGTAGAAGTTAAATTTCCACATTTAATATAAGCCTGTCCTGAGTCATTTTAATAATCCTACAGCGCTTACATGTGATCCAACAATAAAACATTTTGTCACTGGCCTGGCCTGGCCTGGTTGGGCAAATGGGTCGAGAATCTACTGGCCCTGATTAAAGTTTTATATCAAATGTTCTGCTTTTCTTTTGGCTTTAAGCAACTGTTTCCAATAATAATGTCTGTCCTGACTCATCAGACTTTGTTGGGTACTTATAAGAAACCCAACGGAACATCTGTTGCTATGTATTGAGTCGTCGTTTTCAACCCAGTCGTATGTTTTTCTCATTGCAGTGCTCTTTTAGCGTTTCAATGTGTATGTTGTTTTAGGATTAATCCCCATTGCATCTTATTAAGCAAACAGGCCTCGCTGTGTCTGTTTTCGCTCGGTGTGCTATACTCTCATTCCCCGAAGGATAGACACGGGCAGAGGGGAGCAAAGACTAGAGCAAAGACTAGAGCAAGGCGTAGTAACATCCCTCGCCAATCAATGTCTGTAAAATCATTTAAATCAATGCATTTATTTGTTTACTTTTTCAAACACTGGCCCGATCAGGTAGCTGGATAATTGTATTTACTGGCCCAGCTTAACTTGTTACTGGCCCCGGGCCATCGGCCAATTCTTATTGTTGGATCCCATCACAGTTTTGCTGTGATTAGAAGACATTGTTTTGACATTTCTTTTCAGAGCGGGTGAGAGAAAACATCCTGAAATCTTTACCTTATGTTTTCCTTCCCATGCTGACGCTGACTGTCATTTTGTATTTCAGTTATGCTGCAGCCTTTTGACTACGATCCCAACGAGAAGAGCAAACACAAGTTCATGGTCCAATCCATGTTAGCACCTCCTGACATGACCGACATGGAGGGAGTGGTGAGTGTATCTCCTTCCCGAAATCATCTCTCACTGCATGTTTTAGCTGCAACATTCTTTAAAACATAAATTCTCTGCACACAGATGTAATACAGTCGCTCATAAACTGTGATCAACTGCGCCTTTAATACTGTAGGACAGGAAATACATCCAGTGAGTTTAACTGTATGGAAAGAGGCAGTCGATCTGCTACTCCCAGTCTGGATGAGAGGCTGTGTCGCAGTGCTGACACACAGCAATAAAAAACACAATGAGCACAGTTCAGTCGTAACGGTGTGTGTGTGTGTGGTCTCAAAGTAATCTTTACGATCACTGGCTAACATGCTTACAGTAAATCATTCTTAACATGCCAAAAAATGTTTTCAGAATTTGGTATGATGATGATGATATTGCGAATCACACTGGAACACACACTCACACACACACA